CATTGGAAACCTACCGTGCATAGTTCCACTCTGACACATGTGAGATAGTTATTAGTCAGAATTGACTTGACAGCAACTGATTTGATTATTTTAGGCCCACGGAGAAACAATAGTGAGCAAAAGTAGCAGAAACTCCCCCATCATGGAGCTTACATGCTGGTGTACTCCATCTTGCATTTCTAGGAATTAACACAAGCTTTCTTCTGAATTTCATTCTAATGCTCCATTTTTGTTGGGAAAACTCTAATATAGCCTTTAACATTTGATGTGTGCCAAGCATGCTTAAAGTCACATTGTGTGACCTCATTTAATCCTCACAACCCTGTGAGCTAGGCACTATTATCATCCTTGTTTTATAGATAAGGAAACTGAGGCACAAGATGGATGTAAGTAAATATAGATAATTTGCCTGAGGTCAGAATTAGTAAATACTGAAGGGGAGATTTTAATTTAGGCAGTCTGTTTGTTTATACATAAACACACACATATACATATACATACATACATATATATATGTTGTTGTATTTGAAAATTATTCTTGTGCATCAGAGAAGTAAACTATCACTTAAATGTATCTATTAAAAGTTTTACCATTCTGATTTATTAAAATGAGTAGGTGACAGAAATGAATACATTATATTATAAGTAGTAATGGCAATCAAAATATTTAATATCAGTGTATTTAAATGCAAATATATAACGTATGGGTAATTTTACTTTTGTCTTATATAGCAAGACATCTATATAGAGACAACTATTGTAAACTTTTAACAGAAACACATTTTACTTAGTCTCTAAGAAGTTTGAAATCCCTGAGACAAAGTCTTTGATTTTTTTTAAATAAATATTCCTCAGAAAAGACTGTATTTTGTGTAGCACTCCATAATTACAAAATGCTTTATATGAATATGCTGCTTAGGATACCAACTGCAGAGCTGTGGTTCTTTCTTCGACCCTAATCACCTAGACCTGGGTAAGAGCTCACAAGTTAAAGGGACACCACCCTTCATGCCAGTCGCCAAGTTTGGGAGTCCACACAACACCCTCACTTCTGACCTTTGGACTCCCACTACTCCTTTGGGTTCGATAATTCACTGGAATGACTCATAGAACTCAGAAGTTCTGTACTTACAATTACATTTTATTATAGGAAAAAAGGATACAAATGAAACATAGGATGAGGTCAGAAGGGTTCCCAGCAGGGAGCTTCCATGTCCCAGAGGACTGCTACCCATTCACATACATCCGTGTCTTTCACCAACCAGGAACTCCAGGGAGCGTCTGTGTTCAGACCCTTTATTGACTTCACTATGTAATCATGATTTATTGGATCAGACTCTCACCTTCCCCTGAAGTTAGCTGATATGCCAAGTGATGGTCTTTCTGGGCTACCAGTCCTTACCCATTAGCACAAATCCTCAGGTGTGATTTAGATAACAAAGGCACTCAAATTCCAAGGGTTTTGGAGTTACCTCAGGAACCAAGAACAGAGGCCAAATCACTTGAGGTAAAGCAACATCCTACAATGGATTGAGAAAGCTAACATCTAGAGATTTCCTTAAAGTCATTCAGTGAGATGGGGTAGAGCTAGGATTCAAACCTGTATTTGCCTTATAATAAGTTAGTATATGTAATATCTATTGTAATCACACAAATAATGAAAATTGAAACAAATAATGAAATTGAAACAAAGCTATAATCTGAGTTCAGAAAGTAGAAGTGGTCCCAGATAGCAGTTGACTTCTTATTTACTCATCTTGGGAGAAAAAGTTTTATTGTGGTACCCAAGCATCCTTTGGCTGCTTTATATATGTAATGACAGTTAACTACTTTATTGAAACAAGTTTTGGCGGGAGAGAAGAGGGTAGAAAGAATCAATTGTTTTCAGTTTCAAAGAAGAAAGAAAACATTTAATCTCTTTAGGGTACAGCTTAAGCATTATAGATTGATGGCTTTTTGTTCCCCTTATTTTTCTTCATGTAGACTGTCAACAACCTAAATGCACAGAGAAACACCAAAAATTAGTGTAAGAGAATATATCTATTGTGAGTAGATATGTTTCCAATTGGGCAATGTCACCCCAAACATTGGGCAGGCCCTCTGAAGAGGGGATAGTGAAAACTATAGGTCACTGTCACGTTAATTTCTCAGGAGATTGCATCAGGACATAAGGGTTTTCAGAACATAAGATTTCGGGGTCAATTGTAGAAATGGCATCACTAAGGACATGCCATACATTTTCCAGTCAGACCTGGGGGTACTGCTCCCCAAAACTGACTGCACATAGATCATTCTCTAAAAGAGCCCAATGCCTAAGACAAACCAACCTCAGCTAAGCTGCTTACTAGGCTATTGTTTGGCTTGAAGGTGACCATAGGAAAACAGTTCCTTAAAGGCTCAAGGTTCAAAAGGACACCTAAGGGCAGGTTGCCTGAATGAGTCACCCCAGCTCCATAGACCCAGAATCTGGATTCCAGAAGAATTAGAACTGTTTATGAAGACTTAAGCCTGGTTTTAGTACAGCATTGGGTAAGGCATTGTCTGCTAACCACAAGGTTGGCGGTTCAGACCCACCAGCTGCTCTGTGGGACTAAGATGAGGAATCTACTCATCTTATTTACAGCTTTGGAAAACCAACAGGGGTCACTATGAGTCAGAATTGGCTTGATGGCAGTGGGTCACTATAGCACGTAGCTGGTAGATATATGCCTGATTTTGCCCAGAAGGGCTATTGATTACCTGAGACTGAAATATAACGTTTGTATTCAGAAAATAAATCTAATGGAGCTGGAGATTAATCATTGTTTTCATTTTGCATTTTAGTTCAGATTGGGGCCATTTAGATTTTAATTTTTTCATAGTAAATAAAATCTTAAGAGCTATAAGACTTACTAAATACCCATGACTGCATTGTAAGTATGCTTTTTACATTCTGAAACTTTGTTTTACAGTTGTCTGAGTTCTGTATCACCAGTGTTATAAAAGGAGGTATCTCCTATATAACTAGGATACAGAGACTTTCAGAAAAGGACACAGACCTCCTCAGCAGTGCAAGGAGCAGATAGGGCGCAAAAGGAAAAGGAGGAATTACAACAACTTAAACATTTTGTGTCTACCAGTCCTCTACTATAAGGATATTAAAAAGTAAATATTTGAGTTATGTCTCCTCTTGAATTAGTTATATATACCTGTAAAAGTAGAAATAAGTTTTAGTTTGATAAATTTTAGTTACAATAAACCAATGTTTTGTTAAGCAAAGTATTGTACTTTTTTTTTATTTTTAGCAACAATCAGGAGAACTAGAGAATCATGATATTACACGGAAGTTATAAAGGTCATTTCTTCCTTTCTCAGTGATTCTCAAAGCTGGCTGGGTATTGATAGCATTTGGGGATTATGTGTTTAAATACAGATTCTCATGCTCTGTCCTGGAGGTTCTGAGTCATGAAGCCTTCTGGTTAAGGCATTTGGCCACTAACTAAAAGGTCAGTGGTTTGAACTCACCAGCCTCTCTGTGGAAGAAAGATGAGGCAGTCTGATTCCTTAAAGATTCACAGCCTTGGAAACCCCCAGTAGGGGTGGCTATGAGTTGGAATCAACTCAGTGGCAATGAGTTTGGTTTGGTTTTGGGCATTATTTTAAAATCCCTGCATGATTCCTGTGGACATCCAAATCTAGCCTATGTTCAAACTTCAAAGCAGGCTTTCTTTTTTTGGAAGAAATAGCCACTATTAAGAAAGAGAGGGAGAGAAATTGAGTCTAGTCTTCCAAAACTATTACTTTTCTTAGTCTGTTTACCTTCTCTTTTGCTTTTTGAATTTACCATATTTCACAAATTCTAAAGTGTACATTTTAGAAATTTTAGAAATACAAACTTAGTAAGTGTACATCTGAAATTGAGATGCTTTTAATCAGTAGCATCTAATATTTGTGGCAATAGAGATACGATTATGTGAAAATCTTTTTGATACCTGCTGAGATCAGAGTGCCTACATGGGAGCATCTTAGATTTAATAAAATACAGTATCTTCACTCAATTTTACTTAAAGAGTTTGAGTCAATAATTAAAATTTTTTTTAAATACCTTTTATTGAAATGTAATTTATGTACACTGAAATACACAAAACCAAAGTGACATGGGTGAATGCATTTTTTCAATAATAATAAAAAAAATTGAGTTAGTACTAAAGCTAGATTTTAATTTCCAACCGAATTTTAACTGTTTAATTCTGTCAGTCTTTGCTTCTGGCTACCTTTACCTACAGAAGTCTATCTGTTGCAGGAAGTTGATACATCTTTACCTGCCCAGTAAAAGGGGTTCTCAAAATGTCTGGGTTAGAAGCCTGCAAAATCCAACTCCAGAGAAACAGACAAAGCTAAAACTGAGTATCAGAAACCATATACCACACATTTTTGTTTCTCAGCTCCATTCTCCTACCTTTTATATATGTAGCCAGAGTAAGTCATCAAGAAAGACCTAGCTGTGTTCCCATGTGTTTACCCTCATCTTTTCAGTTCTAGAGGTATAGTTGCATCAGATGATAAACTTTATATCAAATTCCAGAAGAAAATTGTTACTAACTCAAGACTGTCCTCTAACAGTTCAGTAATACATTGGCTTGCTCATATTTGATGCTTATGTCTCATTAAATATTGAAATGAATTTAAGAATGGAATTGTTGAATACTTTATATGATAAAACTTAAATGTGCTTAACAAAAACTGAAAATAATCAGTTGGCAAGGTCATGCCCATTATTGATAGTTTTGCAGTTTGATTATGTGAATTGACCAAGTCTCTGATTTTTTGCCAGTTTCAGAAGGCTGAGGGAATAATTCCAAACATAGAAATCAGTGAAAATGGAAAGCCTCATTGTAAAAAACTTTTACTACCTCTTTAAACTTAAGTAGAATTCAGTTGGCTCACTCTAAGGAAATATCTGTATTTTATATACATGGATAGATAAACATATTTAATTGTCTTTTCATATATGTTCCCAGCATTCAAAGAGAAACCTAAGTATCCACCGAGTCAGGCTCAAGCAGCTCTCCAAGATAGTCCCCTTGAAGAGTACTCCTATAAGAAATCAATAAGGAACCTGTTTAAAAACATCCCTTTTGTCCTTCTGTTGATCACTTATGGTAAGTGGTTTTCTTTATGAGCTGTCCTGATAAACCTTTGAGCGTTGTGAATTTTTTTTCATTTAATCTAGTGGTTTGAACTTTAATTAAAGAGATAGGCTTGTTACATATAACAGTAATTACAGCAGATAGAATGGTTGCATAACTTAAAGAATGTAATTGATGTTACTGAATTATACATGTAGAAATTGTTGACATGGCATGTTTTATTATGTGTATTTTCACTACAATTAAACAAAACTATGGGCCAACTCGACGGCACATAACAACAACAACAACAACAACATAATCATAAGCTTACATTTTGAACTAAAAACAAAACTTCAGGATGGATCTTTTTTTCTTACATGTTTTTAAAAGCTGCTCTCTTATAAGGTATTTTAGATCTTTTATGAATCATGACTATGCCATAAGCATATGGAAATACTTTTCTTTACCTTGTACAAAGTAGCATCTATTTTGACTACTCAATCAAAACTAGAAAATAAGGAGGTCACCTTAATCTGTTTTAACTTTTTTTAAAAAAAATTCTTATCCTTCTAAGACCTTTCACAACAGCTGGCAGACATTCTTTCTAACACTGTAAGTTGCCGTCATTGCAGGCATCAGCACACTTGGTTCTCTTCAGAGTTGTCTGACAATTTATTTCTCATGTTACCACTGTTTCATTAACCACTAATACCCCTGCTTCTACCCATAGTTACTGACTCAGTGCTATTCTAGTCTTTACGTGTTTGAGGAGTATATACCCTAGTACATAATTGTTTTAGGGTTATAGCAGATTATGACCTGACCTGAACTCATAACCCTTTTAGCAGGATTACTACTCTTTCCTTTTTTTTTTTTTTATAAATGGAAATTGTGAAGTGCAAAAATAGAACATTGAATAACAGTCTTCTATGTACCCACCATCACCCAGCCTCAACAATTGCTTTATGTAGTCCCTCTACATTTTTTCCTGAAGTATTTTAAAAACACATCCCATATGGTGTATCATCTAATCCTTAAATACTTCAGCATGTTATGGTTACTTTTCTGAATTTTGCTGAATATCACCACACCACTGGTCAGCTTAATCCTAAAACTCAGAACTAGAAAGTGGAGAAAATACAATGGCTCCTGTCATGGACTAAATTGTGTCCTCCCCAAATATGTGTTAACTTGGATAGCCATGATTCTCAGTGGTTTGGCAGTTATGTAATGATGTCAGCATCCTTCATGGTGTGATCTGATTGTCTTCCACTTGCTATGTATTGTAAATCCTGACCTCTGTATGTTAATGAGGCACAATTATGCTATGCTGATGAAGATTAGGTTATGTTTGTTGTGTTAATGAGGCAGAATTAGGGTGGGGTGCAACACCCTTACTCAGGTCATAGTAAGGGTCCAAAGTTAGGGAAGTTATCCTGGACTGTTACTTGCATCACCTTGTATCTTACAAGAGATAAAAGGAGAGACAAGCAATCAGAGAAAGAGGACATGCTACCACCAAGACAGAAGAGCTTGGAGTGTAGTGTGTCCTTTGGGCCCAGGGTCCCTGCCCTGAGAACCTCCTAGACCAAGAGGAAGATTGATGCCAAAATAAATGGAGATTTCCAACAGATGCCAGGTCCACAGATGTTGAAAGGAGACGAGGACCTTCTCCCTAGAGCTGGCGCCCTGAATTTGGACTTTTAGCCTCCTAAACTATAAGAGAATAAATTTCTATTTGTTACTTGTGGTAATTCTGTTACAGCAGCACTAGATGACTAAGACAGCTCCTTGTTATCAGAGTAGATCCATTTCTTTAGCCTGTCACTAACGTGGCTCTTTTCCTACTATTCTTTTATCTCTGTTACAGATTCCTCTTTCAGTCAAACTTACAACCATTCCTCTGTCATAGATACACACACACAGACACTCAGACACAGTTGTGCCTTCTCATGCATATACATCTTCCGTTCTAGTCTCTGTAATGTTTTTTGCTATTATTTATTTACCTAAATGTGCTCCTTCTATTTTCTTCAACCAATTCTAGGTTACTTAACAGATGTATGAATTAGGGGTAGATGTATCAACGTGTAAGGAGTTGTGGTGGTGTAGTGGATAAGGCACTTGACTGTTAATCGGAGGGTCACTGGTTCAAATCCACCAGCCACTGTGTGGAAGGAAGATGGGGCTATCTACTTCTGTAAAGATTTACAGCCTTGGAAAACCAATGGGAGTTGCTGTGAATCAGAAACAACTTGATGGCAGTGAGTTTTTTTTGTTTTGTTTTGTTTTTTGGTATCAACATGTATGAATCTTAAAACCATAATATTGAGTGAAAAGAGCAAATTGTAGATGGATACAAATAATATATAATTATGTGAAGTTTAAATCCATGCTGCATAACTCTTAATTACTATTTATAAATATATAATGTGGAGATAGATCAATAGATAAACACCAACATCAGGATAGAGGTTAATCTGAGAAAAGAGGGAGAAAAATAGGATTGGGAAAGTCTAAGAAACAGACCTAAAGTAAAAATAGCAACATTTTACTGTTTGACAAAACTGAGTGATGTGTAAGGGTATTTGTTACATCATTCTCTAGACCATTTTATATGTTTGAAATAGTTCATAATAAAAAGAAAGAGAAATAATGAACTTAAAAGTGTCAGCTAGATTCAGAGACTTATCTAAAGTCAAACAACATGTTCAAGAAAAAGCCAGAGTTTTTAAAGTATTATGATTGCCAATAGCTACCTTTTTATTTTTAATTACTCTTTATTATTGTCTTACTAATTGCCTCGTCATCTGTCAGTTTGTCGTATTGTGATGGCGTGCATGCTGCTGTGAGGCTGGAGGCTTTGCCCCTGGTATGTCAAATACCAGCAGGTGAATAGGTTTCAGCGGAGCTTCCAGACTAAGACAGATGGGAAAGAAGGACGGAGCCATCCACTTCTGAAGAAATTGGCCAGTGAAAACCTTATGAATAGCCGTGAAACATTGTCTGATATGGTGCCATAAGATAAGCCCCTCAGGTTGGAAATCACTCAAAATACAACTAGGGAAGAGCTGCCTCCTCAAAGTAGAGTCAATCTTAATGGCATAGATGGAGTAAGGCTGTGGGAACCTTCATTTGCTGGTGAAGCATGACTCAAAATGGGAAGAACCAGCAACAGGCATCCATTAATAATTGGAACATGGCATATATGAAGTATGAATCTAGGAAAATTAGAAGTTGTAAAAATGAAATGGAACACATAAAGATTGATATCCTAGGCATCAGTGAGCTGAAATGAACTGGTATTGGCCATTTTGAATCAGACAATCATATGGGCTACTATGCTAGGAATGACATATTGAAGAGGAATAGCATCACACTTATCAAAAAGAATGCTTCAGTATGTATCCTGAAGTACAGGGCTGTCAGTGATGGGATAATCCATACCCCTACAATGAAGACCAGTTAATACTACTGTTATTCAAATTTACACACCAATCACTAAAGCCTAAGATGAAGAAATTTTTTTTCTTTTTAATTTTTATTGTGATTTGAGTGAAAGTTTACAGAGCAAATTCATTTTCCATACAGTAATTAATACATAGTTTGTTTCATGACATTGACTACAACTCCCACATTTTAAAGCTTTCTTCCTACTTCCTCCCTATAGTTACCTCTTCCCTGTGGCCTTTCCTATGCGTTCTGCCCTCTGAGCTGTCTTTCTATGGAAATACTGCCCTTCTGATTTCCCATGATTGGTTGTTCTAAGGAGTGTATCTGCTTGGTGGAAATGTTCATGCTATATGCCTCTCTGTTGTCTGGCTGGAAACCACAGGAGTGAGTTCAATTCCAGGCCTGAGATGTAACTAGGGACCATAGTCTCAGGGGTCTCACCAGGCTCCATCAGACCATAAACCTGGTCTTTTTTTATGACTTTGAGTTTTGTTTCACATTGTTCTGCCAGTCTATCCAGGATCTCCTGCATTGATCCCTTTTTGAGTGGTTGACAGTGGTAGCCAGGCACCATCTAGTTCTTCTGGTCTCATGGTCATATAGGCTGAGGTTCACAATGTCCGCTAGTCCCTTGGACTAATTGTTTCCATGAGTCTTGAGTTTTCTTCATGCTTCTTTGCTCTAGACAAGAAGAGACCAATTACTGCATCTAGATGGCCACTTGCGAGTTTTTAAGACCCCAGTTGCTATTCACCAAAGTAGGATGTAGAACAATGATTTTGTGTAGTATGTTATGCCAACTGAGCTTGGTGTCCCCTGCGACCATGATCTCAAACCCATAGATCCAACAACTCAGTCCATCAGGGTGGTTGACTGTGCCTAAGAAGTTATCATAATTTGCCCCCATCTATTTATATGGACATTCTTACGGCACATACAAATATGTCTGTAGAAATATTGTCTGCCAACCCTATATATGGTCATGGGTATATTCCCTTTTGCCTAGACATACCTGATCATTCAGCCTATCTTCCCATCTATTTGCCTGTAGATTAATGCTTGTTATCACTGAAAATGCAGTATTGCATATGTAAAAGGGTTTATCCTTGTTTGTACCTCTTGTGTACCTCTCTGTGTCTCCCTCTTCCTTAGTGTTATTGTGTTGGTCACTCACTTTTGGTATATTGCCTGTTGCTTCACCCAAGTCAATACTTATCTCTTACCTATCTAACAATTTTCCCTCCCCTCTCCTCTCATCCCTGGTAACAAAGTTTCTTTCCATACGGAAACCTTTCCTTGACTTCTTATAATAGTGAACTAATGCAATATTTGTCCTTTTGTGCTTGACTTATTTCCCTCAGCATAATGTCCTCCAACTTCATCCACATTCTGTAGTGTTTGACAGATTCTACATTGTTCTTTAATGTTGCATAGCATTCCACTGTGTGTATGTACCATCGTTTGGTTATGCATTCTTCTGTTGATGGATACTTAAGTTGTTTCCATTTCTTTGCTATTGTGAATAGTGCTTCAGTGAATATGGGTGTGCATTTCTGGTAGTTAAGTTTATGTGTCAACTTGGCTGGGCCTGGTTGAGTGGCTGGGCAGCTGGATGTAGTATTCCCCATCATGAGACCGGCAATCAACTCCACAGTGGAATCTACCATGAGCAGCTGAGTAGCTGCCCTAGGGATGTGGTCTGCTTCCTGTGTATAAAGAGAAGCTTTGGGGAACCGTCTCCAGCTTATGGCACGCTTGGACCCTGCATGTAGCCATGTCATTGTTCAGCAACGTGCCATGCTCTGCTGACCTTGGGACTTACAATGGACTTAAGTTAATGGCCTTCCCTGTGGTTTGTTAACATTGGGACTATGCCTTTTTTACTTGTCAACCTTGGGCTTGTCAGCCTCAGCAGCCAGCAGCTGTCTGAGTAAAGAAACACCTCTAGCTCCAGTGGGCTGGGAGCAGAAGACAAAGCTGAAGCTCAAGGTTGAGGGGCTTTCACCCAGCCCCTAGAGCCTGGCACTTTCAACTTGGACTAAAGCCTCCAAACTATAAGAAAATAAACTCCTGTTTGTTAAGGCCATCCCGTTTGTGGTATATATTCTTGTCAGAGTGGCACTAGGTAACCAGAACAGCATGTATCTATTTGTGTCCTGTCTCTTACTTCCTTAGGATATATACCTAGTAATGGGATTGCTGGATCAAATGGTATTTCTATTTTCAACTTTTTAAAGAATCACCGTACCAATTTCCACCGTTGATGCATCATTTTACAGTCTGACTAGCAGTGTACAAAGATGGAGACATTTTTACCAACTTCTACAGTCTGAAATTTACCAACAATGCAGTCAGGATGTATTGATTATTACTAGTGATTGGAATGCAAAAGTTGGAAACAAAGAAGGAGCATCAGTAGTTGGGAAATATGGCATTGGTGATAGAAATGACACCAGACATTGCATGATAGAGGTTTGGAAAACCAATGGCTTATTCATTGCAAGTATCTTTATTAACAATGAAAAGGTAGCTATACATGGGGACCTTGCCAGATGGAATACACAGGAATCAGATCGATTACATTTGTGGAAAGAGGCGATGGAGAAACTCAGTATCTTCAGTCAAAACAAGAGTAGAAGCTGACTGTGAAACAGACCATCAATTGCTCATATGCAAGTTCAAGTTGAAGCTGAAGAAAATTAAAACAAGTCCACAAGAGCCAAAATATGAACTTGATTATATCTCACCTGAATTGGAGACCATCTGAAGAATAAGATCTGATGCATTGAATACTAGTGGCCAGTAACCATATTAAGTTGTGGTATGACATTGAGAACATCATTCACGAAGAAAGCAAAAGGTCATCAAAAAGACGGGAAAGGAAGAAAAGATCAAAGTGGATGTCAGAAGAGACTCTGAAACTTGCTCTTGAACAGAGAGTAGCTAAAACAAATGGAAGAAATGACAAGATAAAAGAACTGAAGATTTCAAAGGACAACTTCAGAAGACAAAGTAATGTATTATAATGAAATATCCAAAGACCTAGACTTAGAAAACCAAAAGGGAAGACCATGCTCAGCATTTCTCAAGCTGAAAGAACTGAAGAAAAAGGTCAGGTCTTGAGTTGGAATATTAAAAGATTCCATGGGCAAAATAACGAATGATGCAGAAGCATCAGTATAAGATGGAATAAACAGAATCACTGTACTAAAAAGAATCGGTTGATTTTCAACTGTTTTAGGAGGTAGCATATGATCAGGAACCAGTAGTACTGAAGGAAGAAGTCCAAGCTGCACTGAAAGAATTGGTGAAAAACAAGACCCCAGGAACTGACAGAATACCCATTGAGATGTTTCAACAAACAGAAGTAGTGCTGGAAGTACTCGCTTGTTTATGCCAAGAAATTTGAAAGATAGCTACCTGGCCAACTGACTGGAAGAGATCCATATCTGTGCCTGTTCCAAAAAAAGGTGATCCAATAGAAAGTGGAAATTATCGAACAATGTCATTAATATCACACGCAAATAAAATTTTGCTGAAGGCCATCTAAAAACAATTGCAGCAGTATATTGACAGGGAACTTCCAGAAATTCAAGCTGGATTCAGAAGAGGATGTGGAACAAGAGATGGCATTGCTGATGTCAGATGGATCTTGGCTGAAAGCAGCAAATACCAGAAAGAAGTTTACTTGTGTTTTATTGACTGTGCAAAGGTATTGGACCATGTGGGTTATAACAAATTATGGATAACATTGTGAAGAATGAGAATTTCAAAACACTTCATTGTGTTCCCAAGGAACCTGTACATAGACCAAGAGGCTGTTGTTCTAACAGAACAGGGGTTACTGCATGGTTTAAATCAGGAAGGGTGTGTGTCAGGGTTGTATCCTTCCACCATACTTACTCAAGCTATATGCTGAGCAAATAATCCAGAAGCTGGACTACATGAAGAAGACCTTGGCATCAGGATTGGAGGAAGACTGATAACCTATGATATGCAGATGACACAATTCTGTTTGCTTAAAGTGAAGATGACTTGAAGCACTTACTGATGAGGATCAAAAACTACAGCTTTCAGTATGGATTATACCTCAACATAAAACAAAAATCCTCACAACTGGACCAATAAGCAGCATCATGACAAATGGAGAAAAGATTGAAGTCAGGGATTTCATTTTACATGGATCCAGTCAACACCCATGGAAGCAGCAGTCAAGAAATCAGATGCTGTGTTGCACTGGGAAAATCTGCAGAAGACCTCTTTAAAATGTTAAGAAGCAAAGATGTTACTTTGAAGACTTAGGTGCACCTAACCCAAGCCATCACTTACTGTGCATGTGAAAGCTGGACAATGAATAAGGAAAATTGAAGAGTTGATGACTTTGAATTGTGGTGCTGTTGAAGAATACTGAAAATATCATGGGCTGCCAGAAGAACAAACAAATCTGTCCTGGAAGAAGTGCAGCCTGAATTCTCCTCAAGAGTGAGAATGGCCAGACCTTGTCTCATCTACTTTGGTCTAATGTCAGAAGGGACTATTCCCTGGGGAAGGATGTCATCCTTGGTGCAGTAGAAGGTCAGCAAAAATGGGGAAGACCCTCAACAAGATGGATTGACACAGTGGCTGCAGCGATGGGCTCGAGCACAGCAAGGATTGTGAGGATGGTGCAGGACTGGGCAGTGTTGTGTTCCATTTCACATAGCGTCACTATGAGTTGGATCTGACTCAATGGCACCTAACAACAACAACAACAATTGCCTTACAAAATCTTTGCAGGGGTAAGATCTCTGAAGTAGAAATTCTGTCTTATTCTTTTAATGTTCAGGATATAGCATAATATAGATGCTTAATAAGCAATCCCTTTCCTGATTGTTTGTTATATACTATGTTGCATGTGGTAGAGATATGATTTGTGGCAGGTTTATCTGAATCAAAATAATAATGACTGGTATTTTGACAGAATTCTATGATTATAATTTTAGTATATTGGCATAGTGCCTGAGGCATCTGACTGCTAACCAGAAGGCTGGCAGTTCAAACTCAACCAGCCACTCCTTGGAAGGAAGGCTAGGCGATCTACTTCTGTAGAGATACTGCTTTGGAAACCCAAGGACGGTTTGCTATAATTCAGAATCAACTCAATGGCAGTGAGTTCAGTTTGATTATATTTAGTAAATTTAGGTGTTAAATTGATTAGTCCACATAATGAAAGAAAATGACAACAGTTCTTAACTTTGTGAACTATCTGACACATTTTGTTGTTACCTTGTGCGTCAAGTTGATTTTGACTCATGGCAAACCCACATGACAGAGTAGAGCTGTGCTGCACAGGGTTTTCTTGGCTATAATCATCCACAAGCAGATCACCAGACCTTTTCTTCTGCAGTGCAGTGCTGGTGCTGCTGGGTGAGACAGAGCCATCAACCTTTTGAATAATTCAGCCAGCTGAGTGCAAACCATTGGGGCCAGCCAGGGACCCGTCTGAGATACATATTTTCACAACTGTTGTGTAGTACTCTACATTGTTTTATGAACTGATAAATGATAAATTTATAATTTCTATTTATTATTGTAGGTATCATGACTGGGGCATTCTATTCAGTCTCAACACTATTAAATCAAATGATACTGAAATGTTATGAGGTAAGCTTCTGCCTATATTGTTTTACATGTGTAGTCAAGAATGTTTCTTTATTGCTAGAATTCGTATTAGCATGATCATAAGATTCAGGATTCTGATTTTGTTGTTGCAAAAGATTTACATTTGTTTTAATTGAGAAAACATTTAATCCAATTATAAAACATACATTATTGTTTTGACAGTAGTCTTTCTTTTTTAAAGGAAATTGTGTTAACTAATTATATATTAAAAAAAGTTTTTTTAAGTGATACCAAAACAAATATAAAGAAGTAAAAGCAGGTACAATATGCAGAAGTTGTCAGATTGATCTCTTTTTCACGTATACATGAATTTAGGAATCCTAACAATAACATTACTTCTAACCATAGAAGACAAGGAAAATTTTCATTTTCCATATCTCTCATATTTTAGGTTTCTTTTTCCTGGTTTTAAAATAGAATACCCTTATAGATTCTTCACCTGCCCCTCAGCACACACATTCACCCTAACATACATACTGAACCTTTCATATATTATTATATCATGTGCTTAATTTCATTTGATTGTTACCATTGACTATGAAATGGTATATTAAGACCATGTTAAAGATATATTTGAATTAGAGGAAGTTTCTGGTTAATTTCATATGAAAATTGTTTAAAGGGAGAAGAAGTGAATGCTGGAAGGATTGGGCTAACACTGGTAGTAGCTGGAATGGTGGGCTCCATTCTTTGTGGCCTGTGGCTGGATTATACCAAAACATACAAGTAAGTGTAAGAAAGTAAATGCATCCAAAGGTAAATGTAAGAAGGTGTCCAAAGGCATTGATTTTTAAAAGAAATGTTTTTTTTATTATTTTAAGACTTTTTATTTTTTCTCTTTGTGATTTGGGTGAAAGTTTACCGAGCAAATTCACTTTCCATATAGTAGCTCACATATACTTTGTCTCATGACATTGACTATAGTTTCCCACAGTGCAACAAGTTCCCCTCCCACTTCCTCTCCATAGTTACCTCTTTCCTGTGTCCTTCCCCCCATGCACTCCTGCCTCCTGAGCTGTCTCCCTGTGCATACACAGCCCTTCCATTCTCCCACGATTGTTCTCTCCAAGGAGTGTATCTACCTAGTGTAAATGTTCACCTCATATGACTATTATTTTAAGATATTTTTTGAAGCATTATTTAAAGACTTCGATTCTAGACACGCTTGGATTCCCTTCATTTACCAAATGTTTTAATAGTGTACAGGATTTCTTTGTTTTAGTGGTCATATTTATTTCAACTTTGGGAACCTGTCTTATGAATCATTCCCTCTGACAATACTCATACATACTGCTTCAGAAGGGATCATTTCTGTTCTAAAAAGAACCCTTTGTGAAAAATGTTTGACTTTTATGTATATATCTGGAGATTATATATATATATATATATATATATATATAACATATTGACATTCATCATCATGTGCAACCACCATCTCTATCCATTTTTAAATTTTTCCATCACCCTTAATGGAAGTTCAGTGCCCCCTAAGCAAGAACTCTTTCTTTCCCCCTCCATCCTTCCCACCCCTGGTAACCACCGATAAATTTTGGACTCTATGCATTTGCCTATTCTAGATACTTCATAATGTATCATACACTATTTGTCCTTTTGTGCCTGATTTATCTCATCCAAAATAATGTTTTCAAGTTCATCCGTGTTGTAGCATACATCAGGACTTCATTTCTCTTTCTGGCAGAGTAGTATTCCATTGTATCATGTACTTCGTTGTCTTTATTCATGCATCTGTTGATGGATATTTAGGTAGTTTCCACCTTTTGGCTATTGTGAATAGTGCTGCAGTGAACATTAGTGTATGTGTATCTATGTGTGCTTGTTCCTGCTTTAGATTCTTTTGGGTATATGCCTAGTAGTGGAATTGCTAGATCATGTAGTAATTCTATATTTAACCTTTTGAGGAATCTCCAAACAATTTTACCCAGTGGCTGTACCATTTTATAGTCCCACCAGCAATAAATGAGGATTCTGATTTCTCCACATCCTTGCCAGTGCTTGTTGTTTTTCTTTTTTTTTTTTAAATCACGGCCATCTTAGTGGGGATGAAGTGATAGCTCCTTGTTTTGATTTGCATTTCCTAATAATTAATGGAGATCCCTGAGCGTGCAGTTTACATTTGACTATTAACCTAAAGATTGGTGGTTTGAACATACCCAGAGGTACTGCAGAGAAAGACCTGGTGATCTCTTTTCTTAAATATTTTATCCAAGAAAGCCCAATTAAGCAGTTCTACTCTGTAACACATGGGGTCACTATGAGTTGGAATCAGTGTATAATTGAGCATCTTTTCATGTGTTTCCTGGCCATCTGTGTTCCTTCTTTGGTGAAATGACTATTCAAGTCCTTTGCCGATTTTTTAATTGGGTTGTTTGTCTTTTTGTTGTTAAGCTATAGTTCTTTCTATATTCTGGATATTAAACCCTTATCAGATACATAGTTGCTAAGATTTTTCTCCCAATCTGTAGGTTATTTGCATTGATAAGAAAGTAGTTGTTGTTGTTGTTGTTGTTATGTGCCATCGAGTCAGACCCGACTCATAGCGACCCCTCCTTGGGTTTCTGAGGCAGTATCACTATGGAAGTAGATTGCCCCATCTTCCTTCCGAGGAGTGGCTGGTGGGTTTGAACTGCCAGCCTTCTGGTTAGCAGTCAAGTGCCTTAGACACTAAGCTACCAGAGCTCCTGATAAGAAAGTAGGAATTGTGAAAACCAAAGAATTTATTAGTGTATGGGTAGAGCAATAGCTAGCCAAATGATTTTCATATGCCTAGGAGAAACAGACTACTAACAATTTTGTTGTTTTTGTTTTAGACAGACTACTCTGTTAGTATACATTTTGTCTTTTGTTGGAATGGTTATATTTACTGCTACGCTGGACCTTGGATACCTCATCATTGTGTTTATCACTGGAGGAGTACTTGGGTAAGCATTACATGTGTTTAGGAAGAATGAATGACAGCACGATATAATTCTGAAGTGGTATTACTATGGCTTTTTAATTTTTTACTAAAGGTTTTCTAATATTTTAAACTTTGAAGGATCTTCCCTATACATATAAATGTATACTTCTTTCTAAAAAACCAAAAACCAAACCCACTGCCGTAGAGTTGTATCCAACTCATAACGACCCCTCCTTGGGTTTCTGAGGAGGTATCAGAAGTAGATTGCCCAACCTTCCTTCCGAGTAGTGCCTGGTGGGTTTGAACCACCAGCCTTCTGGTTAGCAGTCATGTGCCTTCGGCACTATGCTACCAGAGCTCCTAGAACTGTAAAAAATCATTTTACATTACTTTTTGGTATACTGTAAGTGTGAAAATTAGATAAGCTTTATTTAATTCTGGTCATTTTATTTGGTTAGCAAGACAATTGACTTAGAAAATGAGAGATGAATTTTTCTAAGGAAAAAAAAGGGATTATTCTGCTTCCCTCTTCCTGAATGATGAATAAAAATAGCCTTAATTTCATATAGGAACTTCAGAGGCTTCACTTATTTGATCTTCAAAATATCCTGAGTGGCAGAATAATTTTATCAATATGAGATATTATCCTGTCAATATTTCTGTTTATAATTCTGGATTTATTTTCCTAGTTTCTTCATGACTGGTTACCTTCCCTTGGGTTTTGAATTTGCTGTTGAAATCACTTATCCTGAATCTGAAGGTACTTCATCTGGTCTTCTTAATGCTGCTGCTCAGGTAATCCTCGTTTGTCTTACACCTGAGATAATTAGAATATTAAGTGCCTTAGGCATTTGACTGCTAATCAGAAGGCTCGTGGTTCAAACCCACCAGCCACTCCTTGGAAGGAAGATGGGGCAATCTACTTCTGTAGTGATACTGCTTAGGAAACCCATGGAGGGGTCTCTGTGAGTCAGATCTGACTCCAAGGCAGTGAGTTTGGTTTTGGTTTATTCTAGTAGAGAGTTAAGGAAATAGATAATGAGTGTGACTGTAGTTTTTGTTTTAACAGTTCTACCTTTCAATAAATGTTTTTAGTTCTGAGAAAACCCTGATACTCATTTTAAAAAAGCAAACTTAAAATAATTTCTCTTGTTTAATTTTAGATATTTGGAATTTTGTTCACATTGGCTCAAGGAAAACTCATATCAGACTATCGGTCTTTGGCAGGGAACATTTTCCTCTGTGCCTGGATGTTTGTAGGCATCATTTTAACAGGTAAAGTAGGGTATTTTCATGACAACATGTTTCATGTTGTCTGTCTGTTTAATTTTCATGTATATTGCTTCTCAATGACTTGGCAGACCTGGGGGCAGGAGGAATGAGGTTAAAAGTAGCCTATTTTTAGTTTTCTTCTAAGGATATAAATTTGTTAATTCCTTTTGCAGATTTCAAGTTCAATGGTCCTATGTATGGAAAACAAAATCACAGTAAAGGAGGGTCAGTAAAGACCTGGCCTCAAATTTTGATTCTACTGCTTCCCAGTTGTGTGACTTTATTTTATTTTATGTATTTATTTTTAAAGTGAAAACATTTATTGAAAGCACAAGAACACCCAAATGGGTAATTGTAGACTTCTAGCATGTCCCCACATGGATCCCCAGTTGTGTGACTTTAGACAAACTACTTAACCTCTCAAATCCTCACTTTCCCCATTTATGTGATGGGATATTAAAACATTTGCCTTACAAATGTATAGTGTCCAAAGTTTATTAGTGGTTACCAGGGGAGGAAGCTGGAATGCTCCTTAGAAGCAAGAATAGCTGGACTTCATCTCACCTCCCTTGGTCATGTTGTAAGAAGGGACTGGCCCCTGGAGAAGGATATCATGCTTGGTAAAGTAGAGGGCCAGTGAAAAAGGGGAACACCCTCAACAAGATGGACTGACCCAGTGGCTACAATGCTAGGCTCAAGCAGAACACAGATTGTGAGCATGGTGCAGGATTGGGCAGTGTTTCATTCTGTCGTGCACAGAGTCACTGTGAGTCAGAGGCCTCTCTGGCACCTAAAAACAACAGCAGCAGGGCAGGGTAAGAGAGGGGCAAAGAGGGAGTTATTGCTTAGGCATCACTGACTTTCTGTTAGATTAATGGAAAAATTTGTAAACAGTAGTGATGGTGTCTCATGATGAATGTAATTAATGTCACTGAGTTGTCTGTGTGAAAAATGTTCAAATGACAAGTGTATGTGTCTGTGTATTTACTTATTGTGGTGTAGTAAATTACATAGTGTGGCTTTTCTAGCCATAAGTCTTTGTAAACTCCGTGGTGGAATTTGCTGTAAGCAACTGAGTAGTTCCTAATTGTTAAAGTTATCCACCTGGAGTATTTCTGTTGGGAGCAGCACAAAGTAATTTTCTGGGAAGTTCGCTCTCTTTCTGGTGTATAGAGTTCTGATGTTGGGATTGGTTGGTTTTGGCCACTCTGCCAGGCTCAAAAGGAGCCCTCCTAGAGGCAGAAGGAGTCTCTCTGACTGCCAGCTGAGAGAGACATGCATTGCTGAGAGAGAAACTGAGAGAGACCATTGACTAAGAGATGGCTAGCTGAGAGAGACTAACTGTGTTCCTGAGCTTGAATTGTAGTCTGTTGCTTCCCTAATAAACTGCATAATCTATGAGTTCTATGTGGCCACTGCAATGAATTATCAAACCCAGTAGAGAGGTGGTGGGTGCTGCGGGCTGGAGGGTGGCAGCATGTCTGGCCTCGTAGGAGCAGGCATTGAGCTGCTGATGGTGATTCTGTTTTCCTCTGTGGAGTTAGAGGAGATCAGAAGATGCCATCTTCTTGCCCCTTTTGCACATACGTACATACATAGATAACACAATAAAAAAGTTATTTTTTAAAAAAGAATGACAGCTATATATAAAAAAAAAAAAAAAGCCTGCTTTATAAGGTTGCTTTGAGGATTAATTGAGGTGGTTCATGAAAAGCTCCTAGTACAATGTTGTCTGGCAGCTAGGGAGTGTCTAATACATGTTAGCTAGTATTAAAATGTGGTAATGGTAGGCATAGGAAGTTCAATGTTGGTGGTGGAAATAGCATATGGAAAAGTTAGCCAGTTCTTACACTTTGTAAGTATAATCAGAATAGACACAGACAGGAAGGAAAGTAGTACCTGGTCTCCAGAGAAAGAGAATGTAAAAGAACTTTCACCCCTAGTCTGTCCACGCATATGGGTATAAAAGTGGATTTGAAATTGAGGCTTAAGTCTAACATTGCTTCCAAAGCCCATGTTGGCTTCTCTTATAATTTCACTTTGTTAATTTCTTTCTCTATCCCTTTACCAACTAGTGAGCTAGAAGAGGGATTATTTGTTTAATCTGGTTATAACTTAGTTCAAGGATAGAATCTATGAAAAAGACATGAATCAAAATTTTTCTTTGTGTTTGTTGAGGTCTCCCAGTGGTGCAAATGGTTTGCACTTGGTTCCTAACAAAAAGGTTAGTGGTTGGAATCCATCCAGTGGTGCTATGGAAGAAAGGCCTGGCAACCTGCTTCTGTAACGATCACAGCCAAGACAATCCTGTGGTGCTCAGTTCTGCTCAGATGCATGTGTTTGTTGAATACATGATCATTCTTTTTGAAACCCCTCTTATTAAATCTCACTGGTGATAAACATTTACTTTGGATATGTACACCCTCCTGAGGTGGTTTTATAGACCCTGTTTCCTCAGAGGGAAACATCCTACCATAAGGGAGTTCTCTCCTTCCCCCCATGCTCTTTAGTTGGTAAAATAAGCAACAAAACTGAAATATCTAATATATTCACTGCCTTGACTACTAGTTTATCACAAATAATTTCATGTTGATTTTCAGTTTCTAGACAGCTCACTACTTGAGTGTTGTTGGTACACCAAAAAAGAAGAGCAGTTTTATATTCTTTTCACATTATTTTAATAATCAGATTCATGAATGTTCATTCAAACAAATCAAGTCTAGAAATTTAAATAAGGAGAAAAGATAAGTTTCAGATTGATGCTTTTACCATCTAAAAATGCCATTTAATTTCTTTCATGTCATATATTTTACTGGAGAGAGCTTGATGGATTTTATATCCAGCATACATTTGTATAGACCAAGGAAAGGGGGGGGCTGGGAAATTCCTGAAGTGTCTTGAAGGTGTTTCTTTTCTTTTTTACATTTTTTCCTGGAATTACTGTGAGTTTTTGTTTTGACATATGAATTACCGTGGGAAGCAGTGCATTTTACTTTTCAAATGATAGTCCTCAGTGAAGGATTTTAGTGTTCATGGAAATGAGCAGTTGATAGTGCCTTTCATACTGTTTATGTGAATCTGTAGTTAAAGAAATACACATTTCCTTCCTGTAAGAAATTAGCAAATAGCATCTTACATATGGTGCATTGTACACTATTGTAGACTTGATCAGTCAGTGGCGATTGTTGCTAGAATTTAAAGCATAGTGTTTTAATATCTGACTGCTTTTAACTCTGATTCTATTATGCAACATCACCAGTGTCTTTAAAATCATTTTAACACATTCAGAAATACCCACTTTGCCCAGCATAAATAACCTGCATTTTTAAAATATTGCTATCAATTCTGACTCATGGTGACTTGTGTGTCAGAATAGAATGTGCTCCATAGGGTTTCCAGTGACTGATTTTGTTCAGCAGTAGGTTGCCAGGCCTTTCTTCTTACATGCCTCTGGTTGGACTTAAACTTCCAACTCTTTTGATATCAGCCAAGTGCATTAACCGCCACCTGTGATCTCCAGTTAATGGCCTGGTGTTGTTTGTTGCTGTTGAGTCGATTCTGCCTCATGGTGACCCTATGTGTGCCGAGTAGCTCTGTAGAGTTCTCAAGGCCATGACCTTTCAGAAGCAGATTGCCAGACCTTCCAAGGTGCTTCTGGGTGGTTGGAACCACTGACTTTTCAGCTGGTAGTCAAGTACTTAATCATTTGTGCCACCCAGGAACTCCTCGTTAATGGTTGGAGAAGTACTGTTATTTCAGGCTGCAAGGATCTTATTGAATGTTATAGTACTGTAGTGAGCTAAATCTGACAATATCTGAAAAGACTGCGCTACTGAGAGAAGTATATTCACACATACTATATGGTAACTCCACTGATGCTTTTTTCTTTCAGCATTAATCAAATCTGATCTGAGAAGACACAATATAAATATAGGAATTACAAATGACATTAAAGCTGTAAGTAATGACTATTTTTATTATTATATTATTGAGAAAATTATGTGTAGAATAAGTATGAAATCAAGCTAAGTCAACTGGTATTTTTGTTTTATTTTGTGAGCCTGCCATTGATCTGTCCTACTTGTATATGCCAGATACTAGAAATGTTTTATCTTCTGATTCTTTCTACAGGTCCCTGTTGACAGTCCCACAGATCAAGAGCCAACAACTGTTATGTTGCCCAAGCAGTCAGAATCAGCAATGTGAGATGAAAGGAAAAGTTAAATAATGTCTAAATATCACGTGGTAACTGGGGTACAATGTGATGATCCCTGGAGAAATACATGAGCAGTGAAGCTTGGTTTATAGATTATGGAGAGTGGATACTTACTTGACAATTACTATATGGACTCTAAATGCACAATTGCTTTTGCATAAAGTGTCTAACATTTTAACACTACCATTTATCTTATGAGTGTCTGATGTTTTATATTGTCTGTCTGAAAGTAGGCGTCTTGACATTTATTTTTCAAAAATAGGTAGTTTTCTTTTTTGCAGGAAACAGAAACTTAGAAGGCTATCTAAAATGATAATATGGGGGTCCATTCCTCTTAAATCATATAGGAGTACATGCTAGTTATATATAAAAACATTTAATGGAACCAAATATGCAATATGTTCCTAATTGGCTACTTTTCCATGTGCTGACTAACCCCCCTCAGCATATGAGTACATTGTACCAAAATGATGCTAGTAACCCACCAAAGGACAGTGCCTTGGTTGGGTTACCACATGACCTATAAGATTGTGTTCATGTCTCATACTCTTGTTACACAGTGATATGTAACAAGTATACCTTGTTGTTGTTGTTGTTGTTGTTAAGTGCCGTCGAGTCGTTTCCGACTCATAGCGACCCCATGCACAGCAGAACGAAACACTGCCCGATCCCGCACCAG